CGTCTGAAGACGTCCCAGCAGGAGACTCCAGGGGACATCTGGAAATGATGTCACACAGCTGCCGGTGGCTGCTAAACACCCTGTGCACGGGGACAGCCCACATGGCAAAGGCGAGCAGCCCAAGGTGTCAGCCCAACGATACAGGGAAAATGTCTCACTGTGAACCTTGGTGGACACAGGGGGACACGCACTGTCCTTCCATACCAAAGGCACAGCTCCAAGGAGGCAAGGGGTGGAGAGCAGGGCGGGAGACCACCCGCACCACCAGGCGGACCAATAACTGTTCTGTTCATCGCCCTCGCACGGCCAAGCGAACGCACATCCGTTTCTATAATTTAGAATATCATTTTTAAATGGTTTACGGGAGAAGTTCTCCCAAGTACATTTTCTCTGATGGCCATTGTGAGACAGATGCAGGAGGAAGGCAGGTGTCCCCTCTCTCCCTCCTCGTGGCAGCGACTGCCACTGGTTTCTGGAGCCTCCCACATTCTTATCTTCCAGTTAGCCTTCCCCTTCTCATTCCTCACTGAGCTGCCCCAACGATTTTCACTGACCCCTACTCTCTGCTCAGCTCCACTCTACAACTGGGGCATAGCATGGAGCAAGACATGCCAAAGCTCACATTTAACGAGAGGGGACACAGGCAGGCAGCAAATAATAACAATGCAAAATAATTCCAGGTCAGCAGGTGCCATGAAGGAAAATAAAACAGGGTGCATTCGCCTGTTTTCTATGGCTACAATGAAATACCTGCAGCTGAGTGCTTTATAAAGAAAAGAGGTTTTTAGCTTGCAGTTTTGGAGGCTGGAAATTCCAAACAACACGGCACTGACTTTGATTTGGGGCCCCTGACTGTGTCATGTCATGGTGAGTGGCACCTGGCAGAAGCACATGCGAGAGGAAGAGATGACATGGAAGCACCGGGATGGGTCACTCTCCAGGGAACTACTGGGGTCCCACTGAACAACACTGATGCCTCGCAGGGGCAGGCCCCCTGTCCTCACTACTTCCTGTGGGGCTGCACCCCTGAGGACAACACCCCTGAACATCCCCACACCAGGAACAAGCTTCCAAGACCTGAACTGTAGGGGAGAACCCACCCCACCTAGAGCACAGGGTCCGGGAGGGAACGGGTGGGTGGGCTGGGACTGGGCAGTCAGGGAAGGCTCTCAGGAGGCGACATTTGAATGGGGACCAGAAAATGATGCCAGGGACTTCAGGCTGAGAAAGAGCCCCGTGAAGGTCCCCAGGCCGGGGCGCGCGTGGCCTCTCTAACGAGCAAGAAAGTGGGGGAGCTGGAGGAGAGCCGAAGACTCCCGAGACACTGGGGCTGGCAGGCAGGACGCGCGGCCGCAGGGCGGGAAGCCACTCTTCTGCTGTCACAGGGGCTCACACTGCTGCTGGGTGAGGCGTGCACCCAGGAGGCCAGCGAGAGGCGGAGGTGGAGGCTTGGCCGGGTGGCAAGGGGTGACGAGATGCGGCAAGCTCCCGGAGGGGCAGCGTTTCAGAACTGAGAGGCCTCCGGGTGGCTCCTTCCACGGGTCCATCTCCCAACGAAACGGAAGCCTAAGAGGGTAAGTGCGCTCCCCCCAGTCACAGGCCTGATGGCAGCCCACGCCCATGCTTCCTGGGGGCTTCGCGACCACACCTCTGCCCTTACCCAGCCGCCCCAGGTGTGACGGCAACTTGGAAGACGGGCAGGGAAGGAGCCCTCTGAAGGTGGGCCTAGCCAGGTTCAAAATGAAAGACCAAACCCAAGGGGCCTCCCTGGCTCTCTGCAGCATGGGACACCCCAACTGCTGTGGTTTCCCTCTGAGACGCCCCCTTCCCGGCTCCGGGTCCTGCTCCAGCCCCCTCTCCCTCCCCAGCTCCTCCCCAGTCTCATGACCCGCCCACCATCCTGCCATCTTACTGTGTCTTCTCGGCTCACCCTCAGAGGAGACCAAGTGCGGCCTCCTCAACGGTCCATCCCCGACTCTGCCTTCGCCCTGCGTTTCCTCTGGAGAGCCCCACTTCCGCCCACCCACTGCCTCGGTGGACATGGACACATGACCTCTGCCCCCCATCAGCCTCATCCAACTGCCTGTCACTGGGGCAGAGCAGAGGGGCCTAGCAGACCACTGCTGGTGGCTGGGAGAAGACGTTCCAGTGGACAGACACCTGCAGGTCCCCTTGCCCTCTTGGGGAGCCCGAATGCCAGGGGCCACCTCATGGAGCATTAGGAAGGCCAACACAGAAGGTGAGAACGTGGGTCCCAAGGAAAGCACTTGAACCCTGAACCCACCTAGGAGCCAAGCGTAGTGGGGCCCTTGTGACAGCCGGTAACTTTCCTGTTGGCTTAGGTCCATGTGAACTGGCTTTCCTGCCACATGTAGGAGGAAGGGGCCTTTTGCATGAGATCCCTCCTGTCTCCTTAGCTCCCTCGCTCAGCCTATTAAACCCCAATGACTCCAAATTAGCCATCGACATCCTGGGCAGCACTGCAGCGCCCAGAGTCAAGTTACCCACCTGCTAGATGTCTCCTCCCAGGTGCCACCCGGGCACCAGGAATGAGACTTTTACAAAGGGGAATTCGGCATCTCTGCTTCTACCTTCCCAATATGCTCTTCTCCATGTTCTTGTCTATCCTAGAAAAAGCACCACCCACCAACCAGACTCTCCAGACAGACAGCTAGGGTGTCCTCGACGGTCTTGCCAGGTAACCCCAGCAGAGCTAAGGCCCCGACTGACACTTTCTGACTATGTGGCCTTGGGTAGACTAACGAACCCCTCTGAGTCATGAATTTCCACGCAGACTCTCCAGTGTTGAATGAGAAAATCGAACACACTTTGGTCTGTTCCACTCCCATCACAGATGTCCAGGCCATCACTAAATTCTAGCTCACCGCCACCACCCAGCTCAGAGCCTCACCCTCTCCCCGCCATCGTCACCAGATGTTTCTATCTCCACTCTCACCCCCACTCAATCTGTCCTCCCCACTCTTGCCAGACTGAAGGTTCCGCTCAGCCTGATCACACATGCCACTCCCCACTCCTGCAGAAGGTACTCACTGGGGACGCCCTGCCCCTCTGCTGCCCCACCACGCCCCAGACTCCAAGTGCTCGTGTGGCTGCTCCTGGGCCACCTGGGACGTGCACTGGGCCGTCCAGCCCGCACCGCCCTCGCTTCTGCCCTGTGTGCCGGGGAGAGCGCATCCCTAAGAAGCCCAAGAAAACAGACTGGCTACAGAAGCCCATGGGCAGACGCAAACCCCATCTACCTGTGGTCCCAGAGCAGAGGGAGACCCACAAAGGAAGGGAAAGAGGCAGGAGGGCAGGGTACTGTAGATGCAGAACAGCAGAGACAGGAGAGAGAGGAAGAGCAGGTCAGGGAAACTTTGATATAGGGAAATCTGAAATAGGAGGCTTCCCTAAACAAGCAGAAAACTTGAAGCCACAAAGAAAAATGACACCAATTTAACATCATAAAAATTAAATAGTTCTGCACCATAAAAGGTACAAGAGGTAAATTGAAGACATAGAAACAAGATGCCTGATTTACTAACAAGAGGTCAGAATGCAGAAAGAGCCTCACAAATTCATGAAATTCAACAGAAAAATAGACAAATGATTTGACCAAACAATTAGAGAAAGTATAAATTGATTCAAGGTTTTTTAAAAAGAGTAAACTTGGAAGACTCTCAGCCTTTAAAATGCACATGACTGATATGGCATAGTCTCCAAGATCTAGATGAAGCTTCTAAAAGTCTATATTATTGAAAGAGGGAAAAAAAATGAAAGATCCTTTTCCCTCCTGTAGGTACATGGATTCTCTCTGAAAGAATAAACAAAATCTGGCAAAAGTAATTGTATCCCCAAAGGAAAACAGAGGGCTGGTGAACAGGAGAGGGGGGAGATGTTACCTTTCATGAACTTTCAGTGTTGTACCTTTAAAATATACTATCTCCAAACAAGTACTAAACTAAATAAGCTAATTAATTAAATTTCTTTTTCTGCACAATCTCTAAGACATCAATAAATAAAGAGAACTCTGCTTAAATAATAGTTTAAATGTGCATTCTCTTCAACCAGCCAATTTCACTGCTAGGAACAATTTCTACCTGGAAAGACTCTCTGCATGCACACAGATCAATAATGATACAAAGACAGGGTTGGAAACAATCTAAGAGTCCATGGACAAGGAATGTTTAAATAAATTATAATGAATCCATACTATGAAATACTATGTTGCCATTAAAAAGAATGAATGAAAACATCTATTACTGATACTGAAAGACTTCCAAGTTATATTGTTAAATTGAAAAAGCAAACCACAGGGCGTTATTATATATATCCCACATTTATATATGTTTAAAAGTATATATTCAAAGTATATATCCACTATATTCCAGTTGGTCCCACAGTTATAACTGAAGAGAGGATTGCAAGTTGAAGGCCAAGGCAATTTAGTGAGACCCTATGTCAAAATAAAATTTAAAAATAAGGCTGGGGTGTAGTTCAATGGTAGAGCACCCCTGGGTTCAATCCCCAGCACTATGCAATAAAATAAAATAAAGAATTGAGTCATGAGGTCAACCCTTCTTCCGGCAGCAGAGCTGATGGCTATCTCTAAATTGTTGGTTTTCTTTTTTTGTTCTTAAAGAAAAACTGCATGAAGACACCATTCCTTCCCTCCAGTCAGGCAGTTTAGAAAGACAGTGCTTCCAAAGGGTGGGCCAGACGCTGCCCACTGGCAACCTGCGGCCGGGACCAGCCTGCGCACACAATTCAGTTACCCTGTACGTTCTTTAGAATGTTGAGTTAGTTGACAGATTTAAAAATATGGAACTTTTTTCCATAAAAAAATTTCGCAGTTTCTCCAAAACTCTGAGCAGGGAACACTGAGCGTGGAGCCCAGAGGGCAGGCCCTTGAGCTGCGTGGGTGGGTGGGAGGTCCTGCGGGGAGCCTCGGCACCGCCCTCCACTACCTACTGGCGGAGGGGTACCCCACAGAACTCTACCTCCTTTGGCTGCCGGTTGGGTCGGTTCCAGTTCAGCCCATTCTGTGTTCCACAACCCAGACGCAGAACTCACGCCCCTCTGACGGCTGGGCGTCCGGTTGCCAGAGCACTCCCAGTGCGCGAGCCTGCAACACAGAGAGATGGATTTGGGGTACTCTGAGACCTTGGATTTAGTTTCAAAATGCCAAGAAGGCTTCTTTCTGTGGGGTCATTGTTTCTGGAAGGCAGGGAGAAGTCCTGAGTTCAGGGACCCTCGTGTGGAACCCGAAGGCCAGTAGAGCAAGTGCCCAGTCAAAGGTCCTGGCCTCAAGGGCAAGCTGGGCAGATTCCTTGACCTCTCCGAGTCTCAGTCTCCTCGCCCCCTAAAAGTCACAGGGCTGTCCTGAGACTGAATCAAGACGCTGTAGCCGAAAGTGCTTTTCAGCACCTTACGGGTACAAGATGGACGGACGAGCACAGCAGAGGAGCCCTCTGAAGAAGTGATGGGGCCACGGCTGGCCTCCCAGTTAGGGTGGATGAAGAGCCCTGTCCCGGGCCTTCACCGCTCCGCTGGCTGCGGTGAGCACAGCTGTCCAGAGCTCCAGTGGAGGCCGGGGTCGGAGGCCGGGCAGCACTGGCTGCCGGCTCCACCGGGAAGGGGCGCAGGGATGCGGTGAGATTGGCTGGCCCGAGGTCTCGGTGTCCTCCCTGGACAGATCCTGCACACTCACACCACCTCCCTACCTCACAGCGGGGGGGTCGGAAGACCCGCTGTTGGAGCACTGTGCAAAACGGAGGGAAGGTACCATGACAAAATGCAGCCTTTCACAGCCGTGAGCGGTGCCACCGCCCGCTGCGTGGTCACTGGGAGCCGATCCCTCGGACGCTCCGGACATCCTCCCAGCCCTCCAGCCCCCGTTCGCACCCCACGCGCCTTAGGCCGAGCGATCCCCGACCCACCGAATCTTCCACGAGCAGATCTGGGGGGCGGAGGCGTTCACCCCGGCTCTGGGCGACTCCAGGACGCTCCCGCCGCCAAGGCTCGGGACACTGCGCCCCTGGTCCCCTTCCAGAGAAGGGGGCTCACCTGTCCTCGCGGATCCCACCGAGGGCCGCGGCCGCCTCGTCCCACGCCCGATCCCGGGGCGAAGCGCGGAGCCCCCTGCCCCGGGGGGCGCGGCCCTCCTCCGCCGAGTCCCGGGCGCGCGCCGGCTGTCCCCTCCCGGAGGACTTGTGGGGGCCCGGGGGCGCCGGGGAAACGGCGGGCTGCACCCGCGGGTGGGTGCGCCTGGGCGGCCCCTGGCCGAGGGAGGGGCGCCCCGGGCCCCACAAAGAGCTGCAGCGCCCCCGGGCCCGGCGCGGCGGCCGGGGACAGCCTCCGCGGGGACCCTCGCCCGCTCGGCGCGCTCCCCGCGGCGTCCCCGCGGCCCTGGTCCGGCCCGCGCTCTCCCCGGGCCCGGCCGCCGCTCCCTCCCGGGCCGCGCGGGACGCGGGTCTCGGGTTTCAGCCCCGCCCGCCGCCCCACGCGGCCCGCCGCCCGGAACTTGGCGGCCGCCCGCGCCCCACGGCGCCCGCCGCCCTTTGTCTCCGCGCCCGCTCGGCTCCTCGCCCCGTCCCCGCCCGCCCCGGCGCCGCGGCCATTCGGACTCCTCCGGGCCGGCTGTCGCCCGTCCCCGTGCCCCGTCCCCGGGCGTCGCGGGCCGCTCACCTTCCACGCCGACCAGTCGGTGCCGTCCGCCCGGCGCTGGCGGGACCCGGGGACACGGCGCAGGGCCGCCGCCGGCCAGTCCGGCAGGAGGTGGGAGGGGGCAGTGGTGTAAACCGAGTTACGACGCGGCCGCCTCCCCCCGGACCCGAGGCCTGCTCCCAGGCCACCAGGGCGCCTCCCCCCGTCCCCTGCCGCGCCCCGCTTTTCTGCCGGTCCCCAGCCTCCGGCGTCCCCGACGCATCGGTCTGGGGGGTGGGGGGAGTTGGAGCCAGCCGTGCAGCTGCTGAGAAAAGAGAAAACAGACCGAAACCCTGAAAACGGCAGCAGAACAGTCAGCTAGGAAGTTCCAGAGCCCAGCCCTCAACTCCGGCAGAAAAGGGCTGCCTGCGCTGGGCAGGGCTTCAACTCCCCCGGATCCGTCGGCTTCAATAAACGCATTAATTATGCTCTTGTCTACAGAGTGATACCATCCGTTGGAGCGGCTTCCTTGTTATTATTGGGCCACTGAGGCACCATTTAGAACAATAATTTACTCTCTAGCACCTGCCAAACACCCAGACTGCTTAAGGGACAAATGGGATAATGAGGAGGAAAAAAGGAAACGGATGCCTTACTATTCCCGTGGGATAGATGCTTTATTTGGTCAGAAGCTGGAGCTCAGCTCCTTTTAAAGTCTAGGTCACCCAGCAAGCCAGATGCTTGAACCGGCTCAAAGCAGGCTGTTCTCAAGAGTATCTCAGACATTTGTTCTGAAATCCCTGGTTATTGATTTAATTTACACTGACTCAGTCACCAGCTCAGCTCTGGGGGAGTTCTTTAGCCTTCTTGAGTCTCACCTTAATCATTTATAAAATGGGGACACTCATATGGCCTATTGGTGGCGTTGAAAAGGCTAAATGAGATAGCACAAGTAAATCTCCCAGTGTCATGGAGTCTGAGGACTAAGTCCTTTTGAAAGTGGGAATTCAAAGGAGATCAGAAACTGTATGCCACAGACCAGCGCTGAGGAAATGAGAATCCAAGGCAAACAAGCACTGCTCTTCCAGCTCCACCTCCCTGCTAGATGCGAAAGATGTCCTCCACACTCAGCAATCTTCCCAGCTTACTCTATTTCGTTTTAAATCCTTCAGTGGAAAGCATATTTTTTCCTCCTGCTCATTATCAAATATATTATTAATCACAAAGATGTTTTACCCCAGAGCTCCTAGCCTCAGAACTCACCATGCATTCAGGGATAGAAACTGCTGCCAAAGAACTCATGTTTCCATCGCTCTCTTAAGATTGTTTCTTTTTTTCTTCTAGAGCTAATATCAAGCTATGAGCAGCATTGGGTTAGATGCAAATAGAAAAATTGTTATCAAAGTGTTTCACTATATGTGTAGGTGACTATATATAAGTAACTATTGTGTGAAAAAACACAATACTGATTTTATGCAAGAATATAATTTTTTTTTTTCAAAACAAGAAATTCTCCTCCCCCCATCTTTTCTTTCTTTTTTCTTTTTCTTTTTTGGTACCAGGGAATGAACCCAGGGGCATTTAACCACTGAGCACATCCCCAGCCCTTTTTATATTCTATTTAGAGACAGGGTCTTGCTAAGTTGCTATAGGGCCTTGCTAAATTGCTGAGGCTGGCTTTGAACTTTCAATTCTCCTGCCTCAGCCTCCAGATCTGCTGGGATTACAGGCTTGCGTCACCACACCCAGCTCCCAAATTGGTTTTATAAGCCATTCTTTTGAAAGATCCTCCAAAGACTTCTTCATTAGGATAATAACAGGCCTCATCCAACTGAATCCCAAGTGTGTGTTGAAGAATCCACCTTTGATGAGACTTCTTTTATATAAAATGTCACTTCAGTCCATCAGGCCACAAAAACTAGCACGAGTACCCCCAATCCACTCCCCAGGCCAAGGCATCCTCCCCGACCCCATGGAAGCTCCAATGTGCCCTCCCCAGAGAAGTCTTCCCTGAGCCGTATGAGAGAGGCTCCTTAACACCCTATCCCCCCCACCTCGGCTCCCTGTGCTTTTTCTTTATAAAATGCCTCCCAATTTACAATCTAGTCCTGTTTGTTTCTGAGCATTGGCTTGCAGGAGGCGTCCTCTGGTAAACTGCGGGACAGCAGGTCCTCCACGGAGTTCACACAGAGCTTTCCCTCTCGCCCGGGCAGAGCCAGGGCCCAGCCTCACAAAACTTTTAAAATAAATGATGACAAAAATAAATAAATGCTATCTTCAGGAACCTCTGATCCATAAGCTGCAGGACATGGAAGAATCGCCTGAGATTTCTCAGATCAACACCACAGGCACGTGCAACAGAGAGACGTTTAATAAGTTGGACTCCATCGTCAAGAAAGTGAAGAGAACCCCCTGCCCTGGGGGTGGTTTGTGAAGCCGGTCCCAGGCCCCATTCACAGGGCGATGCTATTCCACATCTGTTCCCTCTGCCGCAGGGAGCACACCCTCAAATTTCCTTTGGGAAACCACTGCTTCCTCTGGGGTCAGCCTCGGGGTTCGCACAATGTGGGCCTCTCCCCAGCTCCAGAGTTGGGCTCTGCAGGCCAGCATCTCCTGTGTTCAGCCGCGGTGGTGGTTCAGGTTAGGAGGCAGCCTCCAGACTCTCTGGGCAGAGGGAAGCCTCTGGGACATTTTGCTGAGGACCCTGGACAGCTGGACGTCTTGTCTTGGTGGCTGTAAATGAAGCCTGTGGCTCTAGCTTTGGGCAGCCACTGTTGGACTACAAGGAGAAGCCAGCCCGAGCAAAGCCCAGACTTGCAGAGCACAGAAAAGGAGGGCAAGCAGAACCACTCTGCCCCGGGGTGTGTGCAGTTGAGCACCGTTTCTCTAACAAACCTGGCCGCTCAGGGTCAGGGCCCAGAACACTGCATCACACCCCCGGGGCCCACGGCTGGTGCAGATGCCAGGGACCCCATGTTTGACCTTCCAGCATGATTCTTTCTTCTTTCATCATATCCTTTATGTAAGCAGTTTTCTGTTCTGTCTTGCTTCCAGAAAATGCTGGAGGAATCCTACAAAGAAAGACACGGACCCAATGTGGCTGATGAAATAGCTCTATGGAACTGAGACCCAGGCACGAGGAAGAGCGGGCAAACGCACCTCTCGGGGAGCTCCTCCCTGCTTTAGGATTTGTACCTCTTACCTGGAATCATAGCTGTACCTAACTCACTGGATGCCGGTGAAGACAGACCCACACAGTGCAGGGAAACAGCATACACAGCAGGCATCCAATAAATGCAGGTGCCCCTGTGCACACGTGGGCACACATGAACACACGTACGGGAGGTAGACTGTGTACTAGCTGCTACAGGGATCAAATGATTCCAGAACTACAAGGCATTTAGAATAGGGACTGGCACTTAGGGCCA